AAAAAAAAAAAAAAAAAGAGTAACGTGGGAGGCGGGTAAAGGCCGGGACAGGAGACCAGCGCCACCCCTCTACCAGTGAAGAAGTACACCTGGGGCTGGACACTCTGCCCACCCTCCAGCTCTGAGGATGGGTGGGCATCGCCAGAGCCGGGCAGCAGGTGCTACTTACTTTGCAGTTAGGATTTTGTGATCCACGTCGTCCAGGGAAGAGCTGTGGGCCACATGGAAGGTGCCAAAGAGTGTGTTTCTCTTCTTTTTTATCTTCTCAGCCTGCAAAGATGAGGTCCTCAGCTTAAACAGAGCAGGGATTAGAGGCTGGAAAATGAGAAGTGCCTTTCTGTGGCTGGGTCCCCTTCCTCCTCCTAGCACAGCTTAGGCTGCACAAGAGAAAAGAAGAGAAGAAGGAAAAAGAAGGCAAGGGAAGGGCAAAGAGTGGGGGAGGAAAGAAGATGGAGGCAATGAGAGAAGCAGCGGGACCCCCTGCTAGGCCCCCCGACCCCAGGAGGGCTCTGCCCCATGGCAGGTGGGGCTGACAGAGCCTTCCCTCTACCTGCCTCCACCGGCTTCATCTTTCCCTCATTCCCTCCTCCAGAAACTTGAGGACATCATCAGGAACTATGTATTAGGAAAAGAAACAGAACCCGGCACCGGGATATCTCTTGGTCCCACAGCTGGGACAGAGAGAGGCGGAGGCAAGGAGGAAGGGTGGGGGAAGGGAGTGGGCCAGGAGCACGGAGGACAGCAGGAGGGCGCGTCTCACCCCCTCCTTGGCCACCAGCAGCTGCTTCTCGGCGTTTTGCTTCTTGATGTTATAGTATTGCACCTCCACCTCGTGTGTCAGCTGCAGCCACTTCTGAAGGGCCTCTGGAGCATACCATGAGCTGTGTGATTCCAGTTCCTTCTCTGCTTTCCTCAGGGCCTCCCGGACCTGTGCAGCCAAGAGGGTGTGACCCATTTACTGCTGCCAAGACCCCCGCCAGTGCCTCTGTCTGATACCACCAAATTCAGAGTTCTCACCTGCTAGCTCATGGGCGCTTTCAAGCCTCTCAAAAGGCAGAAAGGGCAAGGATTATTCTCCGTATTTTATATACCACAGGAGGCAAGCTCAGGGGACAGTCACCTGCTCAAGGTCACACAGTCAGTAGTGTCAACCAGATCTCAAATTGAGATTTTTTGCTGCCTAGACTAGAGTGCTGTTTGCCCACACAATTACCTGTCTCTCCCGGTCCACAGCCAATCCCCAGCAATCTTCCCTGCTCTCTTGAGGCACAGGTCAGCTCAGTGAATCATCCTCTTTCTGAGAGTTGGGGTCTGTGCTTAGACCTCATGACATCACGATGTGGCAGGAAAAGCACTTGACTGCGAATCTGGAAATCTGGTTCTGGTCCCTGGTCTGTCACTCAACTGGTCCTGCACATCTCAATTCCGTGTGAGGAAAGACTTTTTCCCTCGCAAATCCCAACCATAAGTGAAGGGGTGATCTCAGGACGAGGTATGCGAACAGCTCAGGTCAGAGAGACCGTAAAAATGATTGCTACTCCAGAAGGGGGTTGGCCTGAATGCTCTCCAAAGTCTCCGCAGCCCAGAGGCTTGGTCTATGATTCTCCCATTGAGCAGGGCAGGTAGGCTTTGAAGGGCACCCTCTACAAAGGGCGTAGACAACAATCATGCTTACTTTTAACCAAAAGAGGCCAAGACGTGAAAGAACCACTGTGTAAGCAGAAATCTCCTCACTGACTTCTCAAGCAAGGAGCATACAACAAAGTAGACCATCACAAAGCACTGAACGTGGAAGGTCTGAGATTACACAGACATTATATACACTGGATTCCTTGCTATCTTCCCCAGGCTACAGTATATACTGACCTTTAGCTGGTCAGAATCCCAGAGAAAAGGGATTGAGAGCAGACTTATTATGCCCACCTTCAGCCAATGGGGCAAGTACCCCAGAGCAGGCCCGAGGTTCTACCCATGGCCTACGATAGACTGGGAGGGCCTCAGCTAAGGACAGAACACCTTTATTCCTTAGACAGCCAATGAGAGGACCAATCTTCACATGGCTTTTGTTCCTTGGAAGAGAAACTATAACACAGCCCACTCCTGGCTTTGTAGATTTAAAACAAAGAACAGATACCATGGAGTCTAATACACCAAGTCTGAAATGAATGATCCAGTTCTACCTTGAAAGAAGTGAAAGGAATGGGAAAGGCTCAGGGGAGAATGGGAAGAGAAGAGGAAAAAGAACAAATAGAGGGAAGTGTGACAGTTGGAAGGGCTGGCCTAACAGGCTCAAAACTTTTTAATGGGAGAAAGACTTACAAAATGGGGAAAAGGAAACTTGGGGGGCAGGGGGTGGGGGGGGCAAGGAGACAGAGACAGACACATCTTGCCACATACAAGGAATAAATGCCTGAAGGAGATGAGAACTGTGGCAATTCAGAGTATTCTTTTATTCTATGGGTGTGGTTCTCAACCTGCCACACCCTGGAATCACCTGGGGAACTTTAAAAATACTGAAATCTGGACCCAAATCCAGGTTCTGATTTCATTGATCTGGGGTGCTGGCCTGGGTATCAAAAATCTCAAATGCTCTCCCAGTGATTCTAATATGCAGCAACGTTAATAACCACTGGCCATGTGCTTTCCAGGGTCACACCTGACTCCCACTCCCCCACAGGATGCAGTAGGTCATGGCACAAGAACAATTCTTTTTTTTTTTTAAAGATTTTATTTATTTATTTGACAGCAAGAAAGACAGCGAGAGAGGGAACACAAACAGGGGGGAGTGGGAGAGGGAGAAGCAGGCTTCCCGTTGAGCAGGGAGCCCGCTGCGGAGCTCGATCCCAGGACCCCAGGATCATGACTTGAGCCGAAGGCAGACGCCTAACGACTGAGCGACCCAGGCGCCCCAAGAACAATTCTGATCCATCACAACATCTGGGGAAAGCTAAGTTCTGAAAATTATGAAATTCTTGAAAGATAAATTATTATAATTATGAAAAATTTTCAAAGACATCAGAGGGCTCTAGAAGCAATAAGGACTAGGTCTACAGTTCTCAAAGTTGGATCCAGGGATCCTTGAGTGCATCCTTTCAGAGCATCTGTGAGCTCAAACTATTTTTATATCAAACTATTTTTATAACAATACTGAGACATTATTTACCTCCCTTTTTCACTCCCTTTCTCTCACAACAAATTATAGATTTCTCCCAAGGCTACATGATGAGGAATATCATAACAGATTGAATATAGATACTAATGTAAGAATCCGGTAGTCTATTAAGCCAAACATTAAAAATATTTACAAAATTGTAAAAAAAAAAAAATCATTTCTCACTACATTTTTTTATTTTGAAAAATGCATTTTTCAAAAAATATTATTTGTGTTAATATATAAAGAGTTTAGTATACTTATTTTAAATGAATTAGTAAATTTTTTAAGATTATTTGGGTTTTTTTAGTAATCTCTACACCCAATGTGGGGCTCAAGCTCACGACCTTGAGATCAAGAGTTGCATGCTCTTCTGACTGAGCCAGCCAGGCACCCCTGAATTAGTAAATATTTTTTAATTTTCCTAGTTTAACTTCTAACAGGGTAAATAGCAACATATCGCCCCTTTAAAAATGTTCTTTGAGGTCCTAAATTGTTTGTAAGAGTAAAAAGGTCCTGAGACCAAAAAGTTTGAAAACCACTGAATTAGATGAAAAATCCAGAGAGGGGAAAAAGCCTTTCTAAGGTGAGTTCACAACTGTCAGCCATTTTCTTCCTTGGAGGCTTTTGATGGTTCTGGGTCAGAGCTGATAAATGGGCTCAGCGCGGGCAGTGCAACTCCACTGGGGCCCAGAGAAACCAGGTATGATACTGATATGACAGATTGGAAATTGAGATGTCCCAAACATACACCCCATTTTCTTCATTGAGCATTTACTGAGTTCTGAGGCTGTGCAGGAGAACACGTAGCTAGGCCAAAGGGTGGAATAAAATCTCCCACAATTTCATAATACTTAGGAAACAAAATATTGCGGGAAGGAAGGGACCTGCTTCAAACACACTGCTGGTCCTTCCCTCCGAGCAGGAGGCCAAAGAGCTAAATTAAAATCCTCCCAGTGACAGACATGAATTTCTCATGGGCTCAGGAGAAAGAAATCCACCAGCTCTCAAGAAAAAGGAAGGGATGTGCCTGAGAAACTGGGACAAATGACTGCTAGACCAAGTCTTACTAAACCTACAACCCAGTTCCAACATGGCTCAATTTCTGATTGGCCTGAGGTGATTAGGTCCTCATCCTACATACCTAACAGGAGAAAGGGGGTGGGGGGGAGCCTTTATTTGAAGGAGGATAAAATCATCTGGGGCCTCTGTTATTGTTTTATACACACTGTCCAGCATTTACTAAAAATAAATTACTAGATATGAGAAGAGGCAGGAAAATATAACCAATAATCAAGAAGAAAAATAGGCAGTCTCATAAGTGATCCAAATGTTAAGAGTTACCAGAAAAGGACTTTAAAATAACTATGACTGAAATACTAAAGAAAATACAGAAAAGATAGATACAATAGATGAAAAGATGGAAATTCTGGGCAGGAAACTGGAATCTATAAAAGAGTAAGATGAGCATTATAGATCTGAAAGCTACAGTATCTGAGAGTAGGATCCCACTGGATGGGTTAAACAGCACAATGCTCACAGCAGAACACAGGATTGGGGAATCAAAGATAAATCAATAGAAAATAACCAAACCAAAGCACAGAGAGAGAGAGAGAGAGAGAAAAAAAAAAAAGACACAACTAAGTAAGCATAAGAGACGAGTGGAATCCAGTGAAAAGGTCTTGCATGAATACTGGATCCCCAGAAGGAGAGGAGGGAATGCAGCAGAAGCACTCCGTGAACACGAAAGAGCATGTGCATTCTGCGGTTGTCTGGCGAAATGCTCTGTATGTGTCCATAAGGGCAAACTGATTAATCATGTTTAAGTGTTTTACATCCTTACTGAAATTTTGGGCTGCTTATTACTGACAGGGGTGTTTTACAATCTCTAACTCTGATTATAAATGTGTCTATTACACTTTTAGTTTCTTCAACTTCTGCTTTATATATTTTTTAACTATATTGTTAGATGTATGCAAATCAAGTGTTGTTATATGTTACTGTTAGTTTCACACATGTATCAGTTTTGTCTCCAGTAACACTTCCTGCTGTAACTGCCTGCTTTGTCTGATATTAATATAGCTACTCCTGCTTTATTTTCTTCTGTGTTTGTATCCTATATCTTTTCTCATCCTTTTACTTTGAACCATTTTGTATCCCTAAAGTGTATCTCTTGTAAACAGCACATAGCTGGGTTTCGTTTTTTTATCCAATCTGACAACTCTTTGCCTTTCAATTGTATTGTTTGGTCTGTTTACACAAACCAAGTCTCAACATTTGAAAGAACTGAAAACATATAGTATCTGTTCTCTGACCACAGCAAAATTAAATTAGAAATCAATGAGAAAGATAACTAGAAAAGTCCCCCAAGTGTGTGAAAATTAGGCCACATACTTACTCTAAATAACCATGCCCCCCCCAAAAAATTTGCAATAGAAATTAGAAAATCTTTTAAACTGAATGATAATGAAAATATGAAATACCAGAACTTAGTAAATGCAGCAGCTAATGCAGTGCTGAGCTGGGAAATTTATAGCTCTAAGTGTCTATGTTGGAAAACATTAAAGGTTTAAAATCAATAACCTAATCTTCCACCTCAAGATGCTAGAAAAAGAAGGGGCACCAAGCTGGCTCAGTCAGTGGAACATGCAACTGTCGATCTCAGGGTCATGAGTTTGAGTCCCACGTTGGGTATAAAGATTGCTTAAAAATAAAATCTTAAAAAAAAAAAAAAGGCTAGAAAAATAAGAGCAAGTCAAAAAATTTTTTCAAAGTGCAAGACATCTACACTGAAAACTACAAAACATTGCTGAGAGAAATTTTAAAAGGCCTAAATAGGGGCACCTGGGTGGCTCAGCTGGTTACGCGTCTGCCTTTGGCTAAGGTCATGGTCCCAGGGTCCTGGGATCCAGCCCTGCATTGGGCTCCCTGCTCAGCGGGCAGTTTGCTTCTTCCTCTCCCTCTGCTGCTCCCCCTGCTTGTCTCTCTCTCCTTCTCTCTCTCTCAAATAAATAAATAGAAACTCTTTTTAAAAAATTAATTAAATAAATAAATAAATAACCTAAATAGATGACAGGATAAACAATGCTCGTGGACTAGAAGACTTGTTTGGTTAAAATGTCAATTTTCCCCACATTAATCTATAGATTCAAAGCAAAAACAAGAAAAATCCCAGCAAGACTTTTTGCGGGAGAGTAGGGAAGAGCAGTAGAATGACAAGCTAATTATAGAAATTCAAAGAACCTAGAAGAGCCAAGGCCATCAATAAAGCTGGAGAACTTACTAGCAATATCAAACCTTAGTAGAAGACAATGTGGTACAAGGATAAACAAATGGACTACATAATAAAGTATCTACCTGAAAGAAAAAGAAACTTGACTTCCTACCTCATATCATAGACAAAAACTAATTTGAAATAAACTACAAACCTAATGTGAAAAGTAAAACAATAACACTTCTAGAAGAAAATTTAGAAAAATATCTTGGGGAATGGGAAAGATTTCTTAAACAGGCCACAAAAAGTATCAACTGTTTAAAAAAAAGATTGATTAAATTGGACTTCATTAAAATCAAGACCTTCTGTTCATTAAAAGACAATACTAAGAGAGCAAAAAACAAACAAACAAACTACAGGCCCAGAAGGGGTGCTTAAAAGATATTCTGGGGGCGCCTGGGTGGCTCAGTCAGTTAAGCCTCTGCCTTCCGCTCAAGTCGTGATCCTGGGTTCCTGGGATGGAGCCCCGCATCAGGCTCCCTGCTCGGCAGGGAGCCTGCTTCTCCCTCTCCCTCTGTCCCTCTCCCCACCACTCAGGTGCATGCTCTCTCTCAAATACATAAATCTTAAAAAAAAAAAAAAAAAAAAAGATATTCTATATCTTGATCTGGATGGTGGTTATACAGGTACATGCTCATGTAAAAGCTTTCCAGCTGTATATTTATGATTTGTACACTTTATGTAAATACTTCAATCAAAAAAGAAACAAAATAACTGTTTACACCTGTTATCCCCTATTCCTTGACCTTTTTTTTTTTTTTTTTTTGCAACTTCTCCACTATTCTTATTGGTAAGACTCTATTGACTCTTGAAGATACTCTTGGAGCCCGATTTCCAAGTCCTCTCTCATGAAACATTCTGGCCAGCCTTCTGGCCCCTGCTCTTCCCCCTCCCCCACCCCCGAGCGTGTCCAGGAATTTGTGCACTCTCCTACCTGCTCCAGCTCCTCCTCGGCGTATTTCTGGCGGCTCCGCTCATTCTCCGTACCCTCCCGCAGCTCCTTCAGCCGCTGGGCTTCCTGCTTGGCAAGGTTGATCTCATCACGCAGCTTCTTCTCCAGATGGACCTTCTCCACCTCCACTGTGCGGTGCTCCTCTTGGGCCTTGTGCAGCCTGGGGGCGATGCAGGGAGCTGGAGAAGGCCAGGCAAGGGTGCCAGCCCATACGCCACAAGTCGTGGCATCAAAGAGGAAAATGAGGGCTCTGGCACTGAGAATATATTCTCCCTATTTTGTTGACTGGCTCTGAGTTAGCTCAGGGCCCAGAGAAACCACAGTGGCTACCACAGCTCTTATGTTGGCCATCATTTTGCTGCCAGTAATCAAGCTAGGTCCCTGGGTATGTGATTCCCTCTTCTGAGGTGGCGCACATACTAAGATCCTAACAACTACTAGTTTACAGGGTATTTCCATGTGTCCCCCCTCAGATAATAATGTATCATTATCAGCCTAGGACGGTCCGGATTTAAGACTTAGGGAGGGGAAGTAATTGCAGGTAGAACAGAGACTAGAATTCCAATCTGTTTGAGTCCAAGTCCCATAGTTATTCCCCTTCTCCAGGGCTATCTGGAAGGTTCAACAAATGTAGAATACCCTGCAAGCTATCCCAAAGATCCAGAGAAGGCACAATGGCTGAGATATGACTGGGGTGGTGGCAGTGGGGATATTTAGGGAAGACAAGAAAGAAATCATTGAGCAGCAACTCTTGGAGTCCTAAGTACCTGTTCCCGAAGCACAGAAAAATGAAATTCATGCCAAAGGGGCTAGGCAGGGCTTGGGAGAGCCCCCTGCTGCCCCCAGGCCTGAGTTTCCTTTCTGAGTATCTTTCATGGTGGGTAAGATCTCAAGGGCTCAGTTATAATGAAAATATACCTTTATACCCACCCACACATTCCCTCTGTTCACTGACAAAACCACCCAGCCTCCTTCCCTCCTCCCTTCCTTGCTAATCCACCCATTCATTCATCCATTCTTTCAACAAGTACTTCCAAGTGTCTACTGAATGCCAAGCCCTGCACTCAGTCCTAGATATATGGAGATGAATGAGAAAATTGTCCGGGCCACTGGGGAGCTCATGATCTAGCCCAATATAGACAAGTAAACAGATAACTATACGCAGTGTGATAAGTTCTATAAGAGAGAGAGACCTACAAGCTGTTGGATGAGCCCAAAGGATGGAGTGAACAACTCTGCCTGAAAGGAGCCAGGGAAGGTGAGGCCTGGGCTAGACGCAAAAGAAAGAGTAAGAGTTTGCTAATCCCTCTGGAAGAAGGGAAGGACTTGGCCATGGTCAGGTCTTCCTATCTTGGTAAAAAAACACCAAGTGACAGGGGACCAGGGTAGGAGGGGAAAGGATGATGAAGACAACAGGGCTCTATGGCTTAGACATGAGGTACAGATGGATAAGCTACAGAACAAGGAGCTCTCAGAAAAGAGCACTGACCACTGAGTTAATTAAGTAGGTGAAACAGAAAAGGCAGAGAGAGAACAGAAGTTCTGAAGACAGAACTCAACCTCTAAAAACTGCCAAGTCCAGATCTGTCAGTGGCTGAAGTCTCAAACGAGGTGGTGGGACCAGCAGGGAGGGACGAGGGGAAAGTCTAGGCTGCAAGCTTCCTGCTGACAAACTGCGGGTTTCTGCCCACTCTGTCCCTGGAAAGGGAAGTTGAGCCTCCCCGACGTACACACCAGGTGGCGCTACAGGCACAGCGAACAACAAAGCCAAGGCGCCATTTTCTAACCCCTCTTCTTCCCTGGCTGGATACCCTCCTTTACCATATTCTTCCACCACCCAACTTCCTGATATTACACCATTAGGGATTCAGTTCTTCACTGAAGAGCAGCCTCTTCAGGAAAACCTATGATCTGTCTGTCTTGTCCAGATAATAGGGAACTCTTTTAAAGTAGAATCAAAAAACTTGACCCACTTTTATAGTCCTAACAAGATCTGGTAGAGGCGAAGACCATTAAGTACTACTGGCTGCAGAAATGAGCAAATACACGCACAGTCAAGCCTCGCCCCACTCCATCTCCTCCACAGAAGCCTGAGCTTCTTGAAGGCAGCGGTCAGTTAGCCTTGTAAGTAAGAGAATGAGGCAGCCTGCCTGCAGGCCCCAGCTCTAAGTAGCTATATGACTAAGGGCAAGTCCGTTCCTTGTACCAGGCCTGTTTCTTCATTTCTAAATGGGAATCAAAATCCCTGCCTCAAAGAATTATCTCGGAACCCAACGAAATCCTACCTGGAATGCACATGTAGCATTACATTTATTCACCCCAAGTATCAGGAACTCTGTAAAAAAAAAAAAAAGCTCTGTGGTGGCTGGCAGCGCAGGCCCGGTAAAGTAAGGAGGGATGAGGAGGTGTGTGGACACTGTCAGAGGAAGACGTGTGTGTGCACGTGTGTAAGCCCGTCTCTGGGTGTGCACGTGCATTCATTCCTCCAAGTGCCACGGTGGTCATTAAGCTCTGGAGGCCTTGGGAGTGGGGAGGGCTGGGAGCTTAGTTTTATCCCCAAACTTGGAATGTCTCCTGCCTAGATTCTTTGCCTTTGGAATGGAAACAGTACATGCTTTTCAGACAAATGAAGAATGGGGACTGCCCAGACAGCAGCTTTTAGCCCCCAGTTGGCAAAGGGCCCAGGAACAAGGGGCCCAGAAAAGTAGCCAGGAATCAGCTCAGAGATAAAACTCCGCTTGCCCCTTAGAAACCCAGCCAATGGAAATGAATCTGATTGGGCCGCCTTTACCGAGACAGCACCCTGTGGGTGTCAAAACTCCTGGCTCACTACTTCCTGTTATGTGACCTTAAACAAAGCACTCACCTTCTCTGAGCCCTCATCTCTTCAACTCAAAACTAGGGATGATAATAGTACTTACCTAACACAGTTGTGGTGATTAAAAAATAATGCATTTAAGTAGTTAACAATACCTAGCTCATAAGAAATCCTTTCCCCGCCCTCCAAAGAAAAGAGTATCTATCATTTAAAAGTAACAGAAAAGAGCCAGATGTCATTTCCTTTTACATGGATTCCTGCAAAGACTTCCCAACTAGAATCCCTAAGCGGCCAGAGTAAGTTTCTAAAAGACAGTCCTGAAGTAGGTCCCTCCTCTTCTCAAAAACAAAACAAAGCTGGGGCACCTGGGTGGCTTAGCCGGTTAAGCATCTGCCTTCAGCTCAGGTCATGATCTCAGGGTCCTGGGATCGAGTCCCGCATCGGGCTCCCTGCTCAGCGGGAAGCCTGCTTCTCCCTCTGCCTGCTGCCCCCTCCCCCGCTTGTGCTCTCTCGCTCTCTCTCACTCTATCTCTCAAATAGATAAATAAATAAAATTTGAAAACAACAACCAACAAAGCAAAACACCAAATACCTGCATTAACGCTCTATTGCCTTTTGCATCTTACTAAGACTTATCCATGTGAGGCTTAAGGTGCCAGGAATCTGGCCTCACTCTGTATGTTCAACCTTAACTACCAGGACCCCCCTACCCATCTTTCAAGGTCGCCTTCTGGAATCCACATACACTCATCTCCTGCCTCTGTGCCCTTCCTGTTCTTAGAGCCCTCATGCCATCAGTGGGCACAAATCACTGCACTAAGCGTGTGCTCACTGCTCCTTCGTCTGTGTGTGAGCTTTGTTGCCCCAGGAGCAGTGAATTCCTCACAGTTCCCAGCACAGACCTGGTTCCTAGATGTCAGAATGTACGTGGGTTAACTGACTGACTGACTGACTGACTGGCACCTTCTTTTCACAGCTAGATTTCCTACAACAGTCTTTAAGCCATGTTTTGTTTAAACAGAATCCGACCATCAGATCTAGAAGGCCATTAGTGTTCTCCTGGTTCAACCCCTTCATACTACTGACGAGGAACTCAGTCCCAAAAGAGGAAGGGGATTTACCCAAAGTCACATAACAAGTGAGTACTTAAGAGATTTAGATTCCATACAAGAAAGAACTACAAGTATTAGGAAGACAGATTAGTGAGATTTCTTTAGGGAACAGTGAGTAACAGTTAATTACAGGAAGGATAACAGTTCAGACGCCAGAAGGAGGATAGAATGGGCAAGCCGTCCAACCATGGAAGCTCAAGATCTCTGACAGAAGTAAGCTCCTGCCCTGGAGAGGAGTATTTGCCTGTGCAACAGCAATGGCAGGAACCTACAAGCAGTTCTGGAAGTGTGGTAGAGCCCAGCCCCATCAGCATGTGTCGGGGGCGAGATGGCCCACAACCCAGGTGGAAACAGGAGGCCCCCAAGAGCGGGAGGCACCACAGCTGTGGGGATGGGGAAGGGCCTTACCTTTCCTGAAGGTCATGCAGACTCTGCTCAGCTCGGTGTAACCCCTCCAGATCCTTCATCATCTTCTTCATGTGCTCCTTTGAGTACCGGTTCTGGATGTAGGCGAACCAGCAGCCGCCCACACCAATAACTATAGACACCACCAGCATGAAGTCCTTGAGGTGATTATGGCGGGTCACTGCCAAAGAGGAAGCCATAGTGAAACAGTTGCCCACTGCACGCTCAGCCTTGCAGACTCCACTGCATCCCCTCCTGTGTGAAGGCTTCCCACTCCAGAGCACTTAGTTGCTCTTCTTAGACACACACTTGCCACACACTAGTATACTAAGCTCTCTGCCTATTTTGGAAAAGATGAGAGGCCCGAGAGCGGTACAGGAAGCTTATTAAATCATACTTCCCTAAAAATGAGTTCCTTCTCAGGGCATCCCAGCTACCGCCTGGCCTACGATGAGCCCACGCGCCCACATGCAGTGGCTTCTGTCTGGAGGGATAAGCAATGCTAGAGTGCTAGAGTGGGGAGAAGGGAATGGTTGGTAAGAGTATAAAGCAATATCACTAGAGCTTGAGGCCTGGCTGTGGGACTGAAGTTCCTGCAACAGCCGGGTCCCCTGGACAATTTGCCTATTCTAGGTACAAGAGGCAGAGCCCAGATCAGGTAAAGGTCTGCAAGGCCCATCTGTGGAAGAGCTTTTCTAGGCTGTGGGCTCAATCCAGAGACCAGGGAGGACAGGAGGAACATCGAGAGGCTGGAATATATAAGACACTGCACGTGCCAGGAATAGAGGGGCAGATCCACCTCCGGAGAACGCCTGGCGGCAATGTGGCAAAGTGCTGGTGGCTGGGGTTCAGAGCAAAACTGAAAAGCCGAACAAGGAACAACACCAGAAGGTAAGTACAAAAGCCATGTCCTGAGAACTGAGCCAAGCAGAAGAGGGCCACTCCTGGAGCCTGCCATTGTTCCCAGTCTATCAGATCTGGGCTCTGCGCCACGGCACAGGAGACCTGAAGAGACACCATAAGGAGAGCAGGGCTGCTCCCGTGGCCCCTGCCTGCGTTGTTCTCAACCTGGGATGGAGCAGCGGTGGGCTCAGAGGAGCTGCAGATGTGGGAGTCAGGGCAGCAGGTTACCCTCAGGTTGAGGATGGGGGAGTAGGACTGATAGGATCCCAGGGCCTGGTAAGGACAAGGGGCTCCTCAGTAGACGGATTCTTGTGCCATCGAAAGCAGCATCCTGCACTGAGTCTTAGGGAGTCTGGCTTCTCTGCTTGCCTCTGCCTCATCCGGATCTCTGCTTCCTCAGCTCTAAAATGCATTGTCACACAATTACTAACGAGATCAAGCACACAGTTATGAATGAGAGTGCTTTGAGGTGTTCTGGAAATCTTCAGATGGACATTTCCAGTAGGTAATTAAGAATGTGGATGTGGAGTTTAAAGAAGAGGAGAAGTTTAAAGCTGGAAGAAGAGGTGAGGATTATCAGGTCCCTTCAGTAGAGCCCTGGATGGAACCCCACAATCCTAAGGGAATCTGTGATGTTAATTTCATGTGTCGACTCAACTGGGCTAAGGGGTGCCAAGAGAGCTTTCTGGGTCTGTCTGTGAGGTTGCCTTCATAACAGATTAGTATTTCAATCGCTGGACTGAGTGAAGAAGACTGTCTTCATTAAAGCACCCTCAGGCCACTGACAGCCTGAATAGAACCAGAAGGCGGAGGAAGGATGAATTTGCTCTCTCAGCTTGAGCTGAGACATCCATCTTCTGCCGTCTTATATCAGCACTCCTGCTTGTCGGGTCTTTGGACTCAGACTGGGACTTACAGCAGCTGTCCCCTGATTCTCAGGCCTTGAACTCAGACTCAACAGTACCACTGGCTTTCCTGGTTCTCTGGGTGCAGACGGCAGATCATGGAACTCCTTGGCCTCCATCATCACGTGAGCCAATTCCTATAATAAACCTCCTCATATCTGTCTATCTATCCATCCATCCATCCATCCATCCATCCATCCATCCATCCATCCAGGTTAGGTTTCTCTGGAGAACCCTAATACAGAATCTATAAACCGATATATCAGAAAAAGAGGGGAAATGAAGAATCTAGTCCGTGCCTTACTAATGATATACTTCTCTCCATCCTAATTTCATTCCCATTCTTCACTTCCTACCACCTGCTCAGCCTACTACAAGTCTACAGCGATGTTTCCATTCCTTCTCCTCTGACTAGGATTCCCTAACCATCCCACTCTTTGGACAGGTAAACACGGGTTATCTACTGCCATCTCAGGGACTCCCTTGTGTGTTTTTCAACTTTCATGCTGCTTGCCTTCTGATAGTCTGTGAGTTCCTCAGGGCCAAGGCACAAGACTTATTTCTCTCTATGGCCCCATACTTAGCACAGAGCCTGACCAGAGCAGGTACTCAGCAAAGGTGGAAAGGAAAGAAAAAGGGAAGAAGGCAGGCAGGTTTTAGCAGGAAAGGGGGTACAATACAAAGTCCGTGTGAAAGGACAAGGAGAGTACAGCTAGCTGGCCTGAGAGCCCCTCCACAAGGTCCGCTCTCAGAACCCACCCCACACCCAGCGAGCACGGCCAGGGCAGACGGACCTCGGAGCTTTCCTGAGAGCAGCTGCGGCTGGCTAGGTGAACAGAGCTAAGCCAGGGAATCTGGCTAGGACCTGGGGAGCCAGAGGGTGGCAGAATTCCCAGCCTGAGTGCTGCAAATAGACTTTAGCAAAATGAGGTCACCTGTTAATACAATCAGGCCTGAGGAAGGGAGGACGGTATAACAATGAGATGCTACCATGTTAACAGAGGCAGGAGTAATGGTGAGAATTTTCAGGGTACAGTTAGCATTGAGAAAGCGAGCCTCCAATGATTATCACTTTCTGGAAGAATCCCCTCTCCCAATCTATTCCCGCCACCTTCTCCACTGCCCACAGTACCCCCGCCCCTGACTGCCATGGCCATATGCGCTAGGAATTTCTTTGGTCATCTGCACAGACGTCTGTGCTGAGGTGTGTGGTTAACCTGGAGGAGCTATTCCTCCCGCTTTCTGGTTACAGCCCAAACAGTGCTTTCGCTGGCTCACCAGTCCACACAAGACACTCCACGGTACTCTCCCCACCACCAAACTGGGCCAGACTCTTCTCCCATGTCCCCTGTCTTATAGTTCTGAAGAGGCCCAGCCTCCTTCTGGAAATCTTCTAGCATACATTTCCCGACACCTGCTCATTGCTGGGCCATATGCTGAGTTATGACGACAGATGAACAAAGCTGTTTCTACCCTCAAGGAGTTCCCCGTTTAAAGGGTAACAGGAAAACAGATTGTTATTTAAAAAAAAAAAAAAAAGGCAGGTACAAAGGGTTATAGGATCGCAGAGGAAAGTAAGAGGGAAGGGTTGAACATGCCTGGGAAAAGGCTGGAAAGGCATCCTAGAGAAGGCTTGAAAAATGAGTTGAAAAACAAAAGAAAAAGAGGGTAAGGGAAGGATAGAGCTGACAGAGAAGAAAACAAGCTTTGCTGGAGAGGAGGTACTCCCACTTCCAGGGGACTTCTCCCATTATCTGAGCTGCTGAGGAAGGAAGACAAGGTGTAGGCTTGCCCTTCTTCTCCACAGCCTCCCCACCACCCCAGCAACTACTCTGCAGGCCCCTCTCCACACCCTTCTCAATACCCCTGCTAAAAGCTCAAAGGCTACACTGGCCCAGGATTAACCACAGTAGGCACACACTAAAAACAGCTGCTACCATTTATTTAGGGGAAATTAGGACATAGGGAACTTTACAAATGTACCCTAGGTCACAAAGCCACTGAATGCTAGAGCCAGTCTGCTTGATTTCAAATGGAATTCTTTATACTCTATCTTGCTTGCTCTACCAGAAGTGGAGAACGGGACAACACAGTACCAAAAACACTGAAATATAAGCCACAGACCGGGTCTGAGCCATGGCTCTGTCATTTAAGAGCTGAATGACCTCTAAAAATTCCCCTCATCACCTGAGTCTCCATTTCTCTGAGCAATTCCCTGCAGAGGAGGAAGAGCCCCCCGAGAAAGCTGCACTGCCAGAGTGAGGCATCCGCCGAGGCCCCACGGCAAGCTGCCTGGGGACCCCGGGTGTCGGAGTACACCTAACCTCAGACCGTGGCACTGCTAAGGGCCCGGACAGATCGTGCAAGCCTAGGCCAGCTCCGCCAGCGGAGGAGACTGAAAGGGCGACGTGCTGCGCTGTGGCCACGGTGGGAGGACAGAGATGCCTTCTACTGCCAGAAAATGGGCCCTGAGGCACTCTGTGCTGGGCCAGTCTGATCCGTCTTCCCCCTTCCCAAGCTCGGAGGCTGCTGGGGACAGAGGGGCCCTGATCACTCCGCAGACCTTCCCGGCTACTGCACAACAAACCTCTGATTTGAGATTGCTCAAGCTTCGACTGACGGCAGGAATTTCATTAAGGCTGGGCAAGGTAGCCAGGGCTGGCAGCTAGCTGTACCTGGCCCCGGTTCTCTGGGGTGCTTATCTACTACCTGCCTCCTGGTGAGCCCGAAGAACCACAGCCTTAAGAACTCACCCTCAGCGCACAACCACCGGCCATCATGCTAAGTCCTGCGTGGGGTTGGGCAGGGAACAGCACTGAAGTAGGGATTTTAGCCCATGCTCAGATGGGAAAACAGAGCTGGAGGGACACAGATCAAGGGATTCTTTGCAGGTACCCACCACGCACGGCTCCATCCTTGCAGAAGTCTCCTGGCAAAGAGCTTCCTAGTATTTTCCTCAGATTCCATCCGGCAATTTTCAAAAATTTTCTTTAACAAGCCATCAGTAAGAAAGTATTAAAACAGTATTTGCCATCAGGACAGCTGCTGAATTCCAAAAACCTTAGCTCCCAGGAGAACACCCAGTTCTATCAGAGTCCTTGAAGGAGGGAGCCAGTAAGAGCCTTAATGACCAAGCCCATCTTACAAACAAGGAAACCAAAAACTAGGTAGGAGAACTGAATTGCCAAAGGTCACTTGATAAGGCAAGGGCCAAGGACCGATTCCTAAAAGTACAGGATACAGACAGCAGCAGAAGGAACAGACTTCCTGTCTTTTATCCTTTTACCAGGACACTTATCAATCAAAGGGTTTCCTCTCAAAAATCATGGAATGTTCATCTGAAAGGAATCAAAGATCCTTTAGCTCAATTGTTTCATAATACAAATCAGAAAACACGTCCTGAGAAAACCGACCTATACAAGGTCATACAGTGAGTGGAAATTTGCAAAAGAGACCAAGGTACTTTACTTTCCTA